GCTCCTGTGATGAAATAAAAGTAATGTAAGAACTCTAATTTTGACGGTGTTGGGGGGTAGTGTAGCTTTGAGGGCGCAATGATTTCACTTGATTTTCGCAAGGTAATGACGTCACGAGAGGGAACCATGGCAGGACGCCACCAAAACGTCTCGCCGCTAATAGTGCCAGTATATGCCTTTGGAAAAAGGAAATATTTTGCCCCAATTACCATGGCAGACACCCGAAGAATTCGCAGATAAATATTCGTTGATAACGTTATCTCGAAAGCAAATAAAAAAACACTCGTCATTTTTCAATAGATATGTATTGTAGCATCGGCAAAAGCTGCCGACTACAAATCCGCCAGTTTGGCGCCGACGCTCGTGAACTGCCGCGAGCCGAGGTCAGGGAGCACGAGAGCGGCGTTGGCTCGAGAAAAAAAGATTCGATTCTTGCCTGACGAACGGACCAGCCCATGTTTTGATCGCCTTCGCGACAAGTGGTGACCCGGACGTGATCCCGGTGATTTTTTTTTTTTCGGCATCACCTCCCGCAACCAGCAATGGACGCAGCCGATCGTTCTGCAGCAGCGAACGGAGATCCCGGGCAATCCCAAGGCTCCACCGTACCCAGGCAACAATCACTCGCTGGCGTTCACTTCAAACTGCCACCATTCTGGACGAAAAATCCCCGAGTATGGTTCGCCCAGGTCGAGGCCCAATTTCAAGTTCACCGCATCACATCGTCGCTAACCAAGTACTTTCACATCGTGTCGTCACTCCCACCCGAAGTGGCCGATGAACTCGATGATGTCCTGGCTGCTCAGCCGACAACGGAACCCTACGAAAATCTTAAAGCAACGATTCTCGCTCGCAAGACAACGTCAGAGCGCGCTCGACTACAGCAACTGCTTACGATCGAAGAACTCGGCGACCGTAGGCCTTCTCAGATGCTGCACCGTATGCGGCAGCTGCTGGGTGATCAGGCGGCTGATTCCAATAGCCCCCTTCTGCGAGAACTTTTTCTACAGCGACTGCCACAGAACATGGTTGCTGTATTGGCCGCGACGGACATCATGAATCTGGACAAGTTGGCTGAAACAGCAGACCACATTGCGGACTATTCAGCCCCCAGCGGCGTTGCTGCCGTGTCGACCCCTTCGACGCCTTCAAGCTCTTCGCACGAAGCACTCCACGCGCGCCTGGAAGAACGGCTCGACGAGATAGTGGACACCCTTGCTGCGATGCGAGTACCTGGTCCTCCTCGTCGTCCATCTTCACAGAAACGGCACCCAAGCCGCCGTCCACGCTCTCCTTCTCCGCCTTATTCTCGTGGAACAGCCTGCTGGTATCACCGCACATTCGGCAGCGATGCGCGAATGTGCCACAGGCCATGTTCCTGGTCGGGAAACGAGAAGATCGGTCACTGACGGCGGCGTGTGACAACGGTCAGCGAGAAAGTCGCCTATTCTACGTCGTTGACAGGACGGCAGGCCACCGTTTTCTAGTGGACACTGGAGCTGAAGTCAGCGTAGTTCCAGCCTCACTTGCTGACCGACGGTGCGCTCCGCAAACCTCGCCGCTCCAAGCAGTCAACAACTCAGCAATTGCGACGTATGGTCAGCGCTCTTTGACCATTGACCTAGGCTTACGACGAACCTTCCGCTGGGTTTTCATTGTTGCCGACATTCGCCTGGCCATTCTTGGAGCAGACTTCCTCACTTATTACAACTTGAGGGTAAGTTTGCGTTATCGTCGTCTCATCGATGACACCACTCGGTTGTCAATTCAGGGTATTCAGTCAACGATGACAGGCACTAACATACGCCTTGTCCGTGGCCAGGGTACAAAGTACGCGGCTATTCTCGCGGAATTTCCGACAATCACAGAACCTACAAACCTAGCAACGCCGGTGAAACACGGTGTAACTCACCACATCATCACCTCGGGTCCTCCAGTCTTTTCCCGGCCCCGTCGGCTCGTGGGAGATCGTCTCGAAATTGCGCGACGTGAGTTCGATCACATGCTGCAGCTGGCGATCATCCGTCCCTCAGCTAGCAACTGGTCCTCTCCGTTACATATGGTCCCAAAAAAAGATGCTGGGGACTGGCGTCCATGCGGGGACTACCGCGCGCTAAATACCAACACAGTTCCTGATCAATATCCCCTCCCTCACATACATGACTTCTCCGTTAACCTTGCTGGAACCACCATCTTTAGCAAGATCGATTTGACCAGGGCGTATCACCAGATTCCCGTAGAACCTGCGGACATTCCAAAAACGGCAATCACAACACCGTTCGGCCTTTTCGAATATGTCCGAATGCCGTTTGGATTGAAGAACTCCGCACAGTCCTTCCAGCGCTTCATCAACGACGTCACGCGAGGTTTTCACTTTGTATTCGCTTACCTCGATGATCTGCTTGTAGCAAGTCAATCTCCAGCGGAGCATGAAAGCCACTTACGACTCCTTTTCGGCCGACTGCAGGAGTACGGCCTAGTTATCAACCCTAAGAAGTGTGTTTTTGGTGTCGACGACATCGAATTTCTAGGGCATCGCGTGACAGCCGATGGCATACGACCATTGGATACGAAGGTCCACGCCGTCCGGGATTTCCCAACACCAACATCGCTACGCAAACTTCGGGAATCCCTCGGGCTCCTTAACTTCCACCGTCGATTTGTGCCGAAGTGCGCGCAACTCTTACAACCACTCACCGACCTGCTAAAGACGAAGAAAGGTCCGTCTACCCCCATCGCGTGGAATGACGAGGCCGCAACGGCCTTCTCTGCGGCCAAGCAGGCCCTAGTAGACGCAACGCTGCTACATCACTACACACCTGGTGCTCCAACACGCCTCACCACAGACGCCTCCAGTACAGCCGTCGGAGCAGTCCTTCAACAGCTTCAAAACAAAGAATGGTGTCCTCTTGGGTTCTTCTCGCAGAAGCTAAAGCCTCCTGAGACCAGGTACAGCACGTTCGGACGCGAACGTGCTGTACCTGCGCGACTACAGGCGCGCAGGCACCCGGAGGTCGCGCAGGGCGCGACTACCGGGTGAATTCTTTTCCCCGGCGTCAACAGCAACGACTCCACAAGGCACCTATGTGGAAGAGCTACGCCTGTTGTTCCAGGATGTACAACCGACTTCACCTCGCTTGCCCAAAGACCGCAATGTCTTTGTCAGCCAAGACCTAAGAAACGCCACACACGTGTTTGTGCGCCGTGACATCGTACGCAAGTGCTTAACACCGGCTTACGACGGCCCTTATAAAGTCATCGATCGGAAAGAAAAACACATAACCATTGACGTCAACGGACGTCATGACGTAGTGGCAATGGATCGTTTGAAACCGGCCTATCTCAACGATGACAGTACATCGTCCCCACCCTCGACCGCGAGCGTAGCGACGCCAACACCTCATCGGTCACGCCGACTACCGTGAAGACAGTGATCCACGTGTTTTGACAGGACTGCTGTCGACCATAGCTCATTTCGAACTTCCCCAAACACTCCAGTCAAGTTTCACCACAACGTGAACCACACGCCCAGCCATTTGCACCACGCCCTAGTACCGCTGCTAGGGACAAGTCCCGATGACCATACAGTCCTCTTAGGACACTCTGTACGCTTTCATTTGTCATCCAGACATCGGTTTTTTTTTTTTTTTACTCCCTTTCCTTCTTCGAGGGGGAGCCCTGTAGCATCGGCAAAAGCTACCGACTACAAATCCGCCAGTTTGGCGCCGACGCTCGTGAACTGCCGCGAGCCGAGGTCAGGGAGCACGAGAGCGGCGTTGGCTCGAGAAAAAAAGATTCGATTCTTGCCTGACGAACGGACCAGCCCATGTTTTGATCGCCTTCGCGACATGTATTAAAAAATATACTTTAGTATAACGTTAACCATAAGAAGATTTTCTTCCTAGTTCAACAATTAAAACAAACTATAACCAAGTGCACGAGATAGCTGGCGAACTAAGAATATCACGCGGGATTTCTTCCGTGTCCCTAAGGCGTGCTCCAGCGTGGAATGGCGCATCAGCCTTTAACGTCGGACAACTTCAAATAGGAGGCGATCACGTATAAGCAGTACGCGTTGAGTTCGTCAAGCTGCGCGGTGAGCGCCGTCCTCCTCTGCGGCCTCAGGCGAACCAGCTCGCCCTTGACCACACCTGTGATCACAAAGTAGTTCTCCAGGATGTACTTGTTCGCTTCTCGGACGAGTGAATCAGCGGAAAACGTTGACAACACTTCGGGACGGAGAGAAAGCTCGTGCACGAAGTAGTCGCTCCGCCGATATAGCTGGAAGGCTGCCGCAGAGCTCTTGTCCGTCGCAATCTTGAGGACGAACTGGAGTGCGCGGCTCAGGAGGCCGCAGTTCCTTCGCAGACATTGGCTGACACTGAATCCAGCGACGCTAGACGCGGGATAGACAACGGACAGCTTCTGAAGAACTTGATTGGAATGCAGGCCACCCACCAGGGTTACAAGGGCGAGTTCGTCCACGGGAGCAGCGTCTAGGATCAAAACGCTGAGCGTGCTGTTCTCCACAAGCATCGTGGCAATCGTTCTGCAGAGGCTGACACCGAGTTTGTTAGAACAGTCGCGGAACCTCCAGATGCTTGAGTTGGACGCCAGGCCGCGCACGAGCCACGTCAGGGACGTGTTGCGAACCTTGTCCGTGACAGTTACCGAGCGGATGGTTGTCGTGACGCGAATTAGGTTCGCCAAGGCCATGAGACTCCTCAAGCTCAAGACGCTGTCGATTTCGAATGTTCGCACCGATCGGTTGGAGGCCAGGGCGCCGAACAGAAGACTCGTGTCCAGTGCGAAGGTCTGGATAGAAAGGTCTCGAAGCGTTTCGTGGCATCGCAGCTTTTGCAAGAGTGTATGCATCGAGCAGGGGTACACCACGGACAATTTGATGCCTTCAAGCGGTCAGCTGAGCGCCAAGGATTCGACGAATTCGTTGAATGGCGCCGTTGACCTGAGGCAGCAACCTGGCGTGGCATGAAAGTGCTTCAGCGTCTTGTTGGAGGCGACGAGGCGCGCAAACGCCACAACCGCTTTTTCAGTGAACAGGACCAGTCAATGAACAGCTCCAGGAGCGTCCGGTTGTTCGTGAGTGAATCAGCGATTGCCACTATACCATTGCTGCGAATGAAACTTCTGCATATGTCGAGTGTCCGAAGCGTTTTGTTGGACTGGAGCATCCGAGCGAGGAAAACGGCACCGCTGTTATCTAGCTGGTTGCACTGCAGATCGAGGTAGGCCAAGGTGGTGTTTAGCTCAATGGACGAGGCGATGGCTTGAGCACCTGTGGGACCAATGGAGTTCCCGCCTATCATGAGGAGCTCGAGTGTGCTGTTCGCCGCAAGAGCTTGACCAATTGCAACAGCGCCTTTGTCATTTATCTTCGTCGTGAAGAGGCTCACACTCAGCAACGTCTTGTTGGTCCTCAGCAACTTGGTGAAGCGCTGCGCTCCTCGTACGCCGACCATATTGGAATCGAGCTTCAGGCATTTGATGGTCTTGGAAGTCTCGATGACCTTGAGCAAAGCGAGGCTGTCCTGGCCCCTCAGCCGATTGTCGGAAAGATCGAGGTCTGTGAGTCGCCTGTTTGCTCGATCAATGCTCCGAACCAACGCCGTCATTTCGGTGGCACCGAAACAATTGTGGCGAAGTTTTATTCGGGTGGGATCTCCTCGGAGCATGACATGAACAAGCTGACAGAGTTGGGGCTTATTCATTCGACGTCCGTCGAGCGCAATTTGCGAGATGTCAGCGTTGGGGTGGACCTGACTCAGCAGTTGGCTCTCGTCGTCGAACAGTTCGCCCGTGTAGCTGAGCTCGACTTCCTGAACACAGCTGTGATTGTTCAGCTGCCGCTTCATCAGAAAAACGTTCGAAGCGTCAGCTTGCCCGCAGCATTCTCTAGAAGTTCGATGCCGACAGGGTGCAGGAGACTGTTCCAAATGCCAAGGTTCTTGGCGATCCAGCAGTGCTGTTGCCGAAATCCCACGATCAACGAAGACGTAGAACTTTGAATATTTGTGCAGGGAGCATTCACGTCTAGGAACCGTTCCCTGAAGTATGACTCCAGGTCGGGAATGCTTGTCGGTCTCCGCGAATCTTGTAGACTCGACGAACGTTTACGCTTTCGAGGCGGCAGCATGTCTCGCGACGTTCGTGCGGCCGTTCTGAGTTCGAAAACTACACTGTTAGCAAGTGCCGTGTATTTGGTGAATATTTGGGGTGAAAAACACGCTATTTACACAAATTACCATAAATTTACACGATGAGTAACGGATAATACGTTCAGATATCATGCGAGGTTGTAAAAAACGTGTTTTGGTTCGGTCATACACGCATAACCGTGTAGCCGACCTCGATAACACGCATCGCCTCCGGCGACGACCGCGGCATTGCCGGCTATCGAAGCACCGGAATGCTTGGGGACACACTTAGAAAGGACCGTCGAGACAAATGCCGCGGAAAGAAACATGTCTCGGAAACAGATATGCACCAAAAGCAATTACGCCATGTCGCGGGACGTTGGCGAAACCCGCGCTTACCGTGGCTCGCCGCCATTTTCTGGTCGATGGCAATACGGCTTCCCTCATGTCGCCCATGTTTGCATTTAGTTTAGGGCTCTTGATAATAGTTTCTTACACACCACAAACAAAGTCATGGGTCCAATTATTCGTTAAAAACAGTTAAAATGGATATAAAAAGCGTGTCTTCGATGTGAACACGTGACATTGCAGTTGGTTTCGTTTTTGCTTCATCCTTCAACTGCTTCAACTGCAAGCGATCTGGCCGATCTAACGTCGATGTACGGTGGAAGCAAGAGCCGGTTGGCTTTCGTTCTTTTTGTTTGACCCGAGAAATTTCTGGCAGCCGCTATTGTTTTGGTTTGACGGGACGCGAGAAGCTTCGCATAGAGCTTCGCAGTTTGCGAGCACATAGTGAAGACGTGACCGGAGAAGTGCCCCTGTGTCGTTCCCGGAAGACGGAAAGTACCATTCGTCGTGTGTGCTTTGAAAGCGAGGGGAGTCACAGGGTCCACGAGTGCGCAACCACAAGCCAAGGTTCACGACAGCGCTGCGTTCTTCGGCGATCTCGTTCTGTTTGGGGCAACACGGCGATGCGAGAAAGGGCCGAAACGTTCGTGGTGTGTGGTGCGGTGCTTGTAGGTAGAAACCCGCACTAACGCGGAGCTCATATTGGTTGTTGTGGGGTTGCGTTTGATGGGTTTAGCCCCGTCGTCGTCAGCTGATCCGGTCCAGCTGGTCGGGGAGGACGCAGCGAGCGTTCTTAAAAGTAAATCTTCCTTCGTTCCGTTTCAAAATGTGGAAGATTCCCGACGCATACCGTGAGTAAAGTGCTGCGGAAGTTTTCAACAAAATTACGTCGTTTGAATTGAACAAGGGACTTCGGATAGTTTCCCTAAATCTGCCGTTTCTATGCTTCGTGTCGTTAGACTGCATTTGCACAGCGACGTGTTCGCACAGCGACGCACCGCTCGATTCGGTCCCGCAAACGACCGGTTATACAGAATTCCAGGGAAACTTAAGTCACCACCGATGTTTTCCTGTAAATCTCGTGTGACTCGTGTGAGTTTGTTGCGCTCATCATGCGGTGTGAATAAACTAGGGCAAGATTTTCTACCTGCCCACAAATGCATGAACTGAGACCAATTTTTTACGTAGAGAACATAGTGGTTTTTCTTTACATTGGGAAGAGGCCCGAATGTGTCTCTTTTCCCTCTGGCACTGCCCCAAGTTTCAAGTGGCAGTTTCAGTAGACATACCTACTAACAGGTACAAACTGCTCTAAAGCAGGTAAAAGACTGGGAAGCCAGGACGGTGCGGACACCGTGTTTTGCGCTTCTCGCAAGGTGACTGATGCTTTTGCGAGGTATGCGGAATATGCAAACGATTTTGTTATGCCCTTCGTTTCCGTCTCCAGAAAAAAGAATAAGATTATTTACAAATTTAGGCGCAATCACAAGCCAAGATTTACGATAACAGTGCGTTCGCTTCGGTGGTCCGTGTAGTGGTATTATACGCTGCTTTCTGCAACACCGCGTCATGACGAAGAGCTGGAACGGTCACGGTCTGTGCTGGGCTAGCGGTTGACAGAAACCCGCATCGCCCGCATCGGCACCGAGTGCACTTGGGCTGTTAATGCTCGAGCCTTTCATACGCGGCTTGTCGCCAGCTGATCCTGCTGCTCGACGGTGAGGAAGCGGCGAGTGTGACCTCTGAAGTAAATGTAAATCCTCGTTCATCCAGTTATCCAGTGCCAAAGTCTGGAAGATGTCCAACGTGTACTGGGGGCGGGAACTACGAGCGTTTTGCCTTGCTTTTATAACCGCAACCAGAGCAGCGAGATAATTGCCTTGCGTACTCCAAAATGACGCAAGCAATAAGTTTCAAGAGGTCGAGTACGTCACCGCGGATGTAGGCGAGACTGTGCACTGTTTAAACGTTGCAGTATCCACGAGTGCTACCAGAAAAACGACGTCAACAGAGAAGGAGCTCGCGATTTTAGCATAATGCAGTGCCACGGGCTCGTGAATTTTCAATGTGGCTATATAGAAATATTTAAAAAAAAAAAAAAAAAAAAAAAAAAAAAAAACGCATCAGCGCCACATTAATGATCACGAATAACACCCGTCACAAACTCCCAAGCCTCACCGCTTCGCTCGACACCAACACGACATACGACAACAATCTGCATCAAAACGCCCCAAAAGTGAAGGCGTCTGCTCCCGTACGCGTACAACAACTAGCGGAAGTGAAGTGTTGGGCGGATGTCCTTCACAATAATATATATAAAAAATGCCTTGCACAAGTATAATTTCCATTGATTATTGAATACGTACTGATAAAATCCCAATCATTTGTTTTTCTATCTGATTCAAGCGAGTCGGACTGCTCATAACACTGGTCGAGCATGAAAATAACAAAAATTTGAACTTTTTCATGGCCGGTTTAAGATTTATTGTTAGTACATCGTTGTTTTTCGCAAAGGACTAATTTTACAGATTTTGCCTCCATACTTTTTAAATGCAAACAGTTCTTACATACGGCTGTCCATTTTGCCATGTTTTGTGTCTTCTTCTATAAATCGGTAACGGTCAGCGACCAAAGAGCTCACCCGTACATGTCAAGCATATATACGCCGCGGGGAGAGTCCGTTGTTAGTAGGAAGTGTCGGTCGTAGTGTCCGTGTTGTGTTTTGTGTATGTGTCGCTGCTGTGTCCTATGTGGTGCTCGTGTTGTCTGTGATGTATGTAGGGTAGCAGTGTACTCGTGATAGTTCCCAGCGTATTAACCGACTCCTGCTTTTTTTTCATTGGTTGCTAGAAATCGCACTAGGTGGCGCAAGTTACCGTCCGATTACAAGAGTTTGCTTGAGCTATTTATCCATGTAAGTTCAATATTCTTTTTTTGTTTTTGTTTTTGTCTAGCGGTTTTGTCTAGGGATGTCGCGAACCACCCTAGGTTCGATTTCGAAAGGTTTCGATATTTGCGAAGCGAACTGAGGTTCGATTTCGAAAAATTTCGATATTTTCGTATCGACCGAGGTTCGATTTCGAAAAATTCGCAACTTTTGTCCACAGCAAAGTTTCGAATTCGAAAATTTCGAAGCTTTCACGGTTTCTAAAATTTCGAATTCGAATATTTCGAATATTTTTTTACTTCAGGTTCGATAAATCGAAGATTTCGAAATTCTTTGTAAAAAAAATTCGAAAACTTCGAACGCTTCGAATTTTTATAGACATAAAGTTCGAACAATTCGAAGATTTCGAATTTCTTTTGGCATAAAGTTCGAAAAGTTCGAAAGTTTCGATTCTCTTTTAACGCTAAATTAAAAAAAAACAAAAACCTTCGAAGATTTTGAATTTTTTTCTAATCCAAGTTTTCAAAGTTTGAAGTCCGATTTTCAAGTTTTTCTACAGTTTCAGTTTCAAATAACGTTTTCACGACTCACTGGTTTTCACAAAATCAAGTTTAGAAAAGTTAGGGTGTGATATCTAGATTCTGCGAAGTTGGTCAGGCAATTAAATGAGACACGAGTGTCCCGGACGTGCTAGAATATTTGCCAGTGCAGAATTGTGACCGCCAGCCCCGGGGGGTGGGGGGGGGGGTCTTTAACCTGCATCGCGCAGTAGTGATTGCACGAACACACTGTTTTACGAGACTCATCCAGTTCGAAACGGCCAGGGGCGAGCAGGAGGTTGAGGCTCAGAAAAACCTTGAAGCGACCTGGCAAACTACCTCGCCACCCCTTGCACGCTGGTAGTAATCCGATCCGGTGAAGTTTATAATTGTCCTGGAGGTTTATTTTCAGGGACGGAGGAATCGCCTCGCAAAAAGCACAAAAGCCGACACAACTCGAGGTCGAGGAGCGTTCTACCATACAAGTGTCGTCGGAAGAGGAAAAACGGGGGGAAAGAGGGTAGCGGGGGGGGGGGGGGGGGGGGGGGGGGCTTTAGCCTTTTTTTTCCCCTTGCAGGTATTTCGGACTGTTAAAGAAAACAATACGGGGAAAGAGGGCGTGGTCGAGCTTATTTTAATCTGAAATTATTTATGCATATGTATAGCTACTGTCGCTCTTCACTGCATAAAAGGTTGCGTAGATGGTCACTGTTAGAAACTCGTTGTCAGAAGGCACTGCTCGTCACATGCTTAGTGGTTCGGAAGCTCAAAGCTATGTCTTTTCGACCCAAACACCTGTGCCGATAGTAACAAAAGAAAAAAAAAAGAATAAATGCGGGAATAAAAAGCAGGAGAAAAAAAAAACTATCAAGAATTCGTCGGAAGTGTTCTATTCTTGCATATTCAGAGGTTCAGAACTTCGAAACAAGTTTCTTTTATTAAAA